ATATATATATATATAGAACATACATCTCACACACACACACACGCGCGCGCGCACGCACGCATGCACGCACACACGCACGCACGCACACACAGATGTATACACAACAACATTTATCTATAGGTTTTTAGAGCTAAAGTACCCTAGGACATTAAAAAAAAATAAAAGTTATATAATTTTATACAAACGTATCTATACGATTTTGTAAATTGTTGAAATAGTAGATAGCAACTATTGCATTAACAATATATTTGGTGCATGAGGCTGTCATCTTTTTAATAAGGTATATGATTATTAACATGATATTTATCACTGATAAGATATTATTAATAATATTTCGTGTGTATTATAAATTTAGTCAGAGGCATGCAAAAAAGAATTATATTCATTGATAATAAAAAAAAGATTGAAGATCATGAGGGATTAAATACAAATTTTATAAACTCAACACTACAAATACATATCTAAAGTAATTTCAAGAGAATCTAAGGTATAAGTAATCTTGCCTGCAAAGGAGTAATATGTTCGAAACCAGGTGGTGGTACATCCCAATACAAAGATGGCTTTCTTCTTCTAGAGCTTCGACTCTTCTTCGGCGAACTACTTCTTTTTCTGTCTCTGCGATCTTTGGAGCGAGAACGAGAGCGCTTTCTGCGATCCCTACTGCGTGATCGGTGCCGCCTATCACGATCTCTATCACGATCTCTGTCTTTATCACGATCTTGTCTATCACGATCTAGATATAAAAAATTAATATAACTTGATCATCAATATAATAGTAATTTACCTGTAAATTATTGGTATATATATCACTATGCTTAATATCGAACAAACATGTTTAAATATTTAATAAAATAGACAATACATTCTTAATATATAGATACTAATATACTTATCTAAGTACAAATATTTCAAATTGCATAAATTTGTTGTAATACGAATACAATAAAAAAATTTAAATAAATTTAATATTTAATTAACAAAGGCCCGAAAATCAATTATTTAAACTGTTTACTAATTCGTGTTCGGCCATTACATACTCATCGCAAACAGATCGGTTGGCTAGTTAATAACGCGGGAACATCGCGGGAATGATTTGAGAGTGGAACACGTCAACTTATTAAATTACTCACCTCCATTAAAATCTTCACCCATTTTTGATGCACTACTTCACCTGAGGAAATGCACGACGCTGAAAAATAACAAATTCCAGGAACATTAACTACTTGATGAACCTCCTTTTCCAAAATGGCGAGAGAATATTGGAACATATATGTGAGATGCACGGCCATGAAATATCACGCAACTTCAAGATGGCGAACACCAAGGCCAACAAGAGTCGAATTAAGACCATGTTACACTGCGCACTGGACAATTGAGTGAGTTTAAATTAGCAAAATCACAAAGTTGCTTAAGCTCTGATCTATAATAGGTTTTTAAACCATAAGCCATAGACGAATCTATTATTCTCCTTGCATTCGACTGTAAGTTCGGATCTACAATAGATTTTTAAGCTTTAAACGGGAAACACACTCTTGCATAATGCATAACACATAATGCGTAAGAAAATGATCAATCAAAATCCTTTATTTCCTTCTTTTATTTCCTCTTCTCCATAAAATAAAGGATTCTGATTGGCTGATTTTCTATGCTCCCTATCTTAAGCTATAAGAAATGGACAAATCATAAGGCCGATCTCACCAATTCTGATTAACCTAATTGATCTATTAAGTGTCAACCGTGATTGACCAATTCTGCTGAACAGCAAATGCAATTGATCAATTCCAATGTAACAATCGATCGATTGTCCCATAGTCGATTATTCTTCTTGCATTCAACTACACGCATTCTACAATAAGTCATTAATCATAAATCAGAAGTTAGAAGTTGGAAATTAACCAATTACAATCGTCAATTTCTAACTTCTAACTTTTGATTTATGACTAATGACTTTTTGTAGAATGACTATTAAGCGGGGAGCACAGATTCTTGCATAACACATAAAGCAAAAGAAATTCAACCAATCAAAGTTCTTTATTTTATGGAAAAGAAAGAAACAAAAGACAATGATTGATATATTTTCTTATGTATTACATATTATATATTATGCAAGAATTTGTGCTTTCCGCTTAAGGATATATCCATACAACTTACATAATTGCATAAACGTATGCATAATGAAAATTATCCAATCACGTCATTTTACGTTTTCATATAAAAAATATGATTGGATAATTTTCTTTATGCAAACGTTTATGCAGCTATGCAAGTTTGTATGGATATACCTAAGGCTGGCGTCTCATGGATGGAAATTTACTGTGAAACAGAACAGCAACCAATACACTCGCAGATCACAATCGCAGAAAAGAAAGCAGAGTAATGAGTGCAGAATTATGATTGATTGCGCTATTCCGTTCCGCTGTAAATTTCCATTCATGGTACGCCAGTCCAAGTCCGGATCTACAACAGATTTTTAAGTCTTAAGCCATAAGAAATGGACAAATCGCAATCGATTATTCTCCTCGCATTTGATTTGAAGTCTGGATCTACAATAGGTGTTTTAAGCCTTAAGATAAAAAATTGACCAACTACAGTCGAGTGAAGGAGAATAATTGTTTTATTATATAGATTATGATTCCATTCCTTATGGTTTAAGGCTTAAAACCTATTGTAGATACGGATTAATCAATCAGTAGGCATGAATAATCTGTTATGTTCAATCATTCTACAAACAATACTTTCAAGTCTTATAACTTGCAAAGTTCTTAATGAAAATTAACTTTATAATGTTTTTAATTAAAGCTCTTGACAGTTACAAGAATATGTTCTAAAAAACGATAGTTCCCATTAAAAAATTTTAAGGTGATTTATATAATTTTGACAATATTATTTAAAGTCATACTACCATGAAATGCGACACTTAGGCTCGGTTGCACCAACATTACTTTGATTTTAAGTAAGACTTAAAATTCTTTCCGTCTCGTTTTAAAGCGAAAGAGAGACAGAAAATTTTAAGCTTTGCTTAAAGTCAAAGTAACGTTGGTGCAATCGGGCCTTAGAATCTTTTGTCAACTTTTGTCTGAAACATTTTTCAAGAAAATGTGTATTTTTCAAGAAATTAGCCTGGTACTGTCGCTCTCTATGCATCTTGTATAGATACGTCCTTTGAACTGCGCGCCGAATTTCGAAAAATCAAATCAGCGCGCAATTCAAATGACAACATATATGATATATAATCACATGGAATTATTTAAACACTAAAAATCCAGCTTTGACCGTTATGAGCTTTCTTTCATGTTGGATATTTTATATTTATTATTAAATCCATCTTTACGATAATAATTTATAATAGCTTTTATATGCATCAATGAACACTAATGTATCTCAGTTGAAATCGCTAAAATTTTAAGTCACGCAACTTCCGTAAGATCGACTGTTTTTAATAGCATTTTATCGGTGAATCTGTACATATTTATATAATTATAAAATTGGAGCATCGCCCGCGTGGCTGCGATTAACATAGATAATAAAGCAGCGCTAACGGACGTCACAATTCGGTCATATTTAGATTTCACTATCTCACCATTTTTTCACTACCTTTCATTGAGTAAATATATATTATTATTTGCAACGAGATCGGGAATCAAGGAAGAGTCCGGGAGTCTCGTTCTTATGCGAGAATCGATAGTTAACTTTAATTTCTAATGCAGTGATTAAAATCAGCTGAGTCGTGAAAGCACGCTCACCCCACAGTCACGCTGTATCGCGCGGTGACAGTTGGTGACAGCGACAATAATGACGACGATGACGACAACGAACGACGGCCGCGCTCTTTTTTTGGTCTGTTTTGATATTTGACGAGTCAAAATGGCGTCTACATCACAGATGAGAATCTGCGAGTCCTCGTGGCTGTCCTAGCGAAATCGTTTCGCAAAGTCGTATGCGCGTATATTGCATACTCTCTGAGAATCCGACGTTGAGCTTTTCCTGTATGGATTTTGACGGTCAACGCGATCGTATATTCGTGGCGACACATCACGCTACTCTCGATCTCGACGCGCGACAAGTAGCGTATTCGAGTAGTGCGCGAGCATTCCTTTGCTTCCGCGTGCAGAATTGTATTATTATTATTATTATATAATCGTTATTTAAAATCCTGTTATCCAAACGTTGCTGGCGGAATTACATTTGCTCACCTCCGCTGGGATTTGACTCTTGTAGGAAGTGCTTGATTGCGCGAGGAATGCGACCACGATGCCTGTTATCCAGTTCACATGACATTATTTCTATGTATGTATCTTGGAGAAGGAACATTTTTTTTTTATTATATTTATGATCATATTTATAATGACGTGATTACGATATAATCTGGTGCGAGGGTATAATTTGTCTAAAGTATTAGAATGTTGATGTTGAAGGACTCATGTGTTTTTTCTATTCTTATATTTTCAAGGTGTGGAACTGTGAATACATGGATCATTGCTCTCTAGAAAGTCGATAGAATAAAGGACTAAAGATTATCGCACGGATGACAGTAGAAACATAAGATGTTTGAGTCTCCGAGAAGTCTCCAGGAGGTTTGCATTGATTTTATCTGCGGTAACCTTCTTGGCCTGTGCAAGATTCACCTTAGTGATAATACTCAAGTATTGTCCAATACTCTGAGTAGTAGTTCTGTCTCTGGTAAGTAACATATAAAACTAGTAGTGGTGTACAGACTTTGCAGAATTAAAACAGCATAAATTTTAGATCAACAAGATATTTGTACACTAAACAGTAATAGCACAGAAGTTGCTTTTGATACTGCAACAGGTAGAACATCGTCTAACGATGCTTCCTTCAGCTCACCAACCCGGCTTACCTTTAGACATCCGGATGCCTTCTTGCCGGCCGAAATATCAGAGCAATTATTATCCAACCTATGTGAGAAGAACACATTATCTGATTTGACAATTACACTTTTTGATTCAAAAACCACTAGATTGAGGTGATGAGATTTCAGGATATTTGGAAGAAATAAAAATGGATTTATAGTAACAGTTAATTTTTTTCTAGGCACGTACGATTGAAAGATGCATCAACATTGTCAGCTAAAGGTTTAAGTGTTCTTAAGCAGCATAAGGTTATAGATTTAATAGTAAATGGTCTGAAAATCACTGTTAATGATTTAATTAGTTGTTTAGGCGATTGGAGTATACAAAATCTTAGGTCGCTAAGTGTAGCTAAAGGAAGCTTTATGGATTTTTCAAGGTTATTATAACTCTTAACACATTGAATAATGGAAGTTCTTTATGATAGTTTATAAAAACTATGATAGTTTATAATTTTATATCTTCATGAATCTTGTTATAGACAACGCATGGTAGATATCGCAACATTAAATAAATTAAAGGCACTTCATACCTTGAATGTCTCAGGAACAGAATTTAATAAACATGGCTTGGACATAGTAGTCGAAGATCTTCCCCTTTTAGAAAGCTTAGATATATCTTGTACAAGAGTTGACGATATAACACCGTTGAAAAAATGTAAAGATCGTTTAAGGACATTAAATATGTATAATTTAAAAATAAGTGGATGTGGAAATTTAATACCAGTGTTGCTGGAGCTAAACGAATTAAGGCATTTAGATATTTCCGATGAGAAAGATCCACATGGTTTTGAAGTTTTTGCACCTGCTAAACCAAAAATAACAGACTTTTTAAAAACTTTGAATTGTATGCCTCATTTAACAACTTTAGACTTATCAGGTGAGTAATGCAATATATAATAATAATTATGTATATATGTACATAGTAATCTGATAATGCATGTTGCATTTCATAAATTATTAGTTAATTATACTAATGTGACATTTCATTAAGTATAACATTACATAGGTAAAGATGATATAAATCCGAAAGATTTAAAAAATTTCATTGCATCACATGTACGTTTGAGATTTCTGGGATTAGTACATTCTGATGCTTGTTACGATGAAAGTTTTATAGATTCAACACATAAGGATTATAGATCTGAACTTGTTGTAAGTTGACATAATATTGATATTAATGCTATGCAAGATTACACTCTATTATTTGAAAAATTGGAATATTTTTATTACATTGTATTTGTATATTTGTATGGATATGTAGTAGTATTCTTATTCATTATTATTATTATTAGTTATGCAAAATTTGACATATTTCATCTCTTTTATATTATTTCCCTTAAATTTATAATATTATTATATCATTACGAGTAAAGTAGTTCTCATTCGGTTTAATATTAATTTATGCATTTTAGACGTTTGTTTATACTTCAAATCATGTGTCGACAATCCGATAATTAAAAATGTTAAATTTATTCCATGTTGTACATTCATCAGCTAAAAAGTTGCAACATGAAGATTATATTCTGAAACTGAATCGAAAAAGTATTATAATTTTTTAACTGATGAGTGTACCACATGTATTGGTCATTTATTTATTTCTTAAAATGTGTTAAATTTTAAAGATAAATATTCTCTTGTATATACTATACATGTCTGTATGTGTTATAAAAAAATTATTACAATATTGGTGTTTGATATATTAATTGTTCGTACATCTATTCTATGAAATATGTATTCCATAACAAATCAATTTCCATTTGCAAATATAAAAAAAATTGCTAATTGTAAAATTAATTTTCTATTTTTTGTTAGAAATTTTGTTATTTATATATTATACAAATAAAAAATAAAAGTATAAATATGCGAACTAAATAACAATAATCAACAATTAATTGATAAAGAAAAGGAAAAAACTTTTGATAGATGCAATTCAATGAAATAATACATATTTTATCTCGTCTTTTGCTTCAGATCAGTGGTACAGCAACAGAATCTCAAATTTTGGAAGCTCTTAGGAGGTATACATACAGACCAATATATCTTCAAAAATGTCTATTTAACTTATTCCGTTTGACACCAAATTTTCTTGAACCACGAGTTGATGTGATAAAATTAGTGTTACCTGGAATGAAAGAACATCCACAGGAATTTCGTGTACAAATGGCAGCTACTGCGTGTATCTATAATCTTACAAAGGGTGAATTAGCTCTTATGATTCATCCATCAATACTTAAACAAATAGTCGAATTAACATTATTAGCAATGGAATCATATCCAACTAATCATCAACTTCAAAAGAATACATTATTGACCCTGTGTAGCGATAGAATTCTGCAGGATGTTGCATTTGACAAATATAGGTATTTACATAAATTTATATATATAGGCAATCCATTTTATCAATCCAGTCAATTTTCTATGAAATTTTTTCGTGTTAATAATTTCGGAGAAAATTTACTGGATTGATCAAAATGGATCACCCTGTACATGAATCTATAATTTCGAAATTAAATATTCTGAGATTTCAATATCTTTATTTTTAAACTTTTTATCAATATTTTATGTATTATTTGCTGTAATATGCAAATTTTCAATAACAATATTATTACGTTAAATAAATAATAAAAATAGATGCTATTTTTTGTAAATGGAAGTTGATAAAAGAGAATGTGCACATATATACTTGAATAGTCTTGGATTTAGCAATGATATTAGCAATATATATTAATGTCACTTATTTACATATATCAAAGGTTATCGATCATTTTTTATTCAATCTTTCTATCTTGTGTAATAAAACTTAAATATTTAAACTTAAATATTACGCAAAACATAAAGAGATACTTTATTCTGTTATAAAACTTGCTTTTCTTTGATTCACTATATTTTAATAAAATATTCTAATCTTATTTAAACTCATAATTATTCAAAATTGTTCCTACATCTTCATTCATTTTCATGTTATAAACACCAAATTAAAAGAGTAGTTTATTTCAAATCACAATAAATTTATATACTATCATAAATAAATAAAAGTATTTCTTTATATAGGTTTAATTTTTCTTACGCATATTAAATGAATAAAACGTAAATTAATATTACTATCTATATATATGAATATTGAAATTTCAGTATATGGATATTATATCTCTCTCTCTTTGTGACATACAAATAAATAAAAAAAGATTTTAATTTACAAGTTTTTAATTTAACAGATGCGCGAGATTAGTTATGAATTGCTTGTCAACATTTGATGATGCATCCATGAATCGTATGTCTGTGGCTATTTGCTCGATATTAGCAGCAAAAATATCAACATTGGAAACGTCTATGCTTGGTGCACAGCCGCAATATATGTTGAAATTGCTTGCAATGGTTAGATCTAAGGTTGAATCCAAATTAGTAGATATTACAATGAAATTTACATTAAGCGCTCTTTGGAATTTAACGGATGAGAGTGCTGCTACATGCAAGGTTTTTCTTGATGAAGGTGGAATGGAGTTATTTCTTGAAGTGTTGGATAGCTTCCAAGGAGAATCTAGTGTGGAAACTAAAGTTCTTGGTTTGTTAAACAACATAGCAGAGGTTTGTATCGATCTTCAATATGAATATATAATATATTCTGTAATATAAAAATATGTATATTGTATGTTTAGTGAAACATTGCATCATGTTTTTATTTTTTTGTATTTTAGGTCGATCATTTAAGACCACGACTTATGCAACCTCGGTTTATAAAAATGCTTTCTATGCTGCTTGATTCCGAGCACATTGATGTATCTTATTTCGCAGCTGGTATCGCTGCACATTTACTTAGTGATGGTCCTCGATCTTGGTGTAGTATGCCATCACAACCGAGCAGGGAGCAATTATTGGATCAACTGGTTCATGCTGTAACTCATTGGCAAACACCACAAGGAGAAATGGTTGCTTATCGTAGCTTCCAACCATTTTTCCCATTGTTACGTTGTACAGATGCATATCCCGTTCAACTCTGGGCAGTATGGGCAATTCATCACGTGTGCACAAAAAACCGTAAGCTTAAAAATAATGTTTTACATAATATAAATTTTAAGAATTAGTTTATTTTAAAAATGGAGAATAATTAGATATATATTAACTATACAAAATTGTAACTTTTTTTAAATTTTGAAATTAAGACTTTTGAGAAAATTATTGAAATAAATAAGTTATACATAATAATTCATAATTATCGTATCGTAATAATAATCATATCGTAATATTTATTTTCAGCAAAACGTTATTGTGTGATGTTGATCAGAGAAGGAGGAGTAGAAACTTTAAAACAATTGGAAAAAACACATACAGAATATACAACACAACCGAATTTGCAAAGTTTATGTCAATCAATTTTGGAAACGCTTGAATTAAACTCTTAACGATAGTTTTTGCTTTCCAATTTGAAAATTAAATACCACATGGTATACTAGTCAATGTTTATCTTAGTGAAATCCTATATCCTGTTCTTTAGACCAAATGAATATAAAAATTATATGGTCATAAATATAATTACAGTAAAAACAGATTACAATCAACAAACATAAAACCATAAATCCAAAATTTTAATTATAATTGAGTTGACATTGTGACTGAATTGAAGATCTGAATTGAGAAATAGATATTTTTTGCATCACACAGCGTTATATATATAATTAATTTCAAAAATTATCAAAATTATTTAGTAATAGTTGTATGAGATAAACTAATAAAACTAAAGCAAGTTTATTATTTTAGAAAAAATTAATTTTTTTATTTGAAAAAGAGGAAAAGAAAACTATTCTTTTGAATAATTCATTTAATTACATACAGGGTATCCCGAATTTAAATGACTAAATTTCGGGAGTGTGTAGGGGATCAATAAACTAAGAAAAATTAAGTTATTTATAAATTTTTATTTTAGACAGTAATTGTTTAGATTACTTTAGGTAATAAGAGTTTATATAAATATGGTTAATTACAGATTACATTTAGATGATTACCTGTCCAGAATCGTGTATGTGGTGGTATTAGTGAGCGCACTTCAACACGTTCATTAATACTCACAGACATACAAACAAACGTATATTTTATAATTAGCCATATTTAAACTTTTATATCTCAAGAAACTATTGCTTAAAATAAAAATTTATATTAATTTCTTTATTTAAATTTGTCCAAACTTTCTTGCTGTAATATTCTGATTCACAAATTTTAGAACATTCTGTATATTATTATGTATTTTATTGATATTATTTTAAAATGTTATTTACGACCTCAGAATTACGTTAAAATTATTACAGAAAGTAGGAGAATTAATCAATTATGTTTATTTTAAGATCTCTATTTTTACAATTTATTTAATAAATGATGATCATCTTTATGATTTATATCTCAGATTCTAGTCTAGTTAATTACTTTCGTAGGAAGAACAATTAATTAAAATAATTATTCATTTAAAATATTTGTAATTCAAACTTCTACATTTACATTAGATTTATATTTTAATGATTAATAGTACAAAAAGAAAACATGATTGTATTAAATTAATTGTTTTATACAATTTATACATATGCTCATGCTTAATAAAATTGATGTTTGAATGAATAATTTTATGTATTGACATTATTATATTATAAAAAGATGTATAATTATTAAACTATTCTTAAATTCATATTCATATTGATCAGTATATCTAATCTGGAATCACATAAACTGAGATAGTAAATTGTATATTATATGTTATACAATTTACTTTTTGCATTTTCCAGAAAATTAGGCTAACCTATTAACTTTCATTTTGCTATATAGTTCAACGAAGGAACATATATATGAAATAAAGTGTTAAAATAATTATTTTGTCATACTGTGGCTGCGTTCGAAAACATTGTTCGGATGCCTTCGATGCTTTGGATTATGTTGGACAAGAACAAGATGATAAATTCAAGGCATCGGAAGCATTTGAGTAATATTTTCGAACGCAGCCTGTTTCAAATTCAGATCTTCAATATATTTTGTTAATAAATATCCTTTATAAAATTTTCATTATTAAATATTAATAAAAACATTTTGAAAATTGATCATGTGTATTATATGCCTTCAGAGATTATACAAAAATCAGAGTTTGTAATAAAAGAGAAATACATATTAATATTAAATTATATCTGTTATTAAAATATTACGAATTTATATAAACGAAATTTATTCTTCTGATGCATTACATGTTGACATTTAAAATGTAAGAAATATCAATTTGAATGGTACTGAATGTTAATAAACTGCTATGCCAGCCTTTATATATGCTTTTTCTTTGATGGATTAATAATTGCATTATTACACATCAATTCTATAGTAGTATTGATTTTATAAAATTTAAATAAATAGATGTGTAAAAATGCATCCTTTTCTTTCTCTTTTCATTAAAAAATATCTAAAATTCTATATTAGCCAAGAAATTCTTTATTTACCACTCATTAATTTTACATTTTATGTTACACATATATCTTAATTCTTTTTTTTTTTTCCCTTAATGAAACGTAAAAATTGTTCATGAAATTTGTATCAATTATCACTCAATTGATGCTGATGCTGCGCTGCACCTGCAAAATACTTAGCGACATGGAAGTAACATTACGAAATGTGTCTCATAAATATGTTGAAAGTCGGCACTCCTCCTAACACCTTAGCACACAATGGATCAATATTGCAGGAACATATTTTACACGCATCTTACAAATTAGTAGCAATATGTTTAAGATAAAACTGAAGATGTATAGTTAGTACTGAGTAAATGAAAGTTGCACATGACAAAAAATCTACAATGTGCAATCGAAACATCTCGTACAATGCAATTATGACAATTCGTAATTTCTTGGCGCAACTTTCAATTATCATGCATACAAAATTGACTACAAATTATAGTTATGTGATATTATTCTAGACATTCACTTTGTAGTTCAATTTTTTTTATAGTTTCACATTTTTATGAACTGACAGGATTTTTTATCAAATAAACTATATATGTAGTTAATTAAATAATAATCTATTCAGATGGCATTATATTAATATTCAGATATCAATGTTTAATAGTTCAATTTTACATTTTATAATATTCTGTTCTATAATCTATTGTATCAGCCTTAACACACAACACATACATCCTTATATATAATTATCCTTATAATTATGTCTATCACATTATGTAAAAATAAGATCACATTAAAATACAAATATGCTTTCATATGTTATTCTTTTATACGAAAATCAATAGAGTGCTTTTCAGTTTCTGTTTTTAAGTGTACACAAAAATTTTCAAATATATATTTTTAAATAATATTGTATTATTTGTAGGAGCTACTTACTAAGAATATAATTGTTTTTAATAAACACACATATGTAATATATTTATGAAAACTTAATGATGTAGTATTAACTTTATTGAAGTTTAGATATCTTGCATATATGTATATATAAGTACGTTAGACTGTTAGTAATTAATACTTCATAAATTTGCAAAAACTGAATTGAAATTTAAATTCAAAATATTTCAATACTTAATTATATAACGTCTGTAGTTATAGTATATATTATAATGTTATTTACAATAATAATAATGTAATTATATTTAAATATAAGACTTAAAATTTATTTATGTTAAATAATTTCATTAAATATCTTTTGAAATGTATTTTTAATCAAAATGTATTTCCATCAAATATATAAAATAATTGAAATATATATGAATATGTAAAAAAAATATTTTGGAAAAGTTTTAAGGCGGATACAAAATTCAATTTAATAAAATTTAATAATCAAACTCTTTAAAAAAATTTATTGAACTACAATAGTGAATGATCGCTGTTCTACATTTGTAGCTTTATGTGATAATTATTAAATCAAATATAATTAATTGTGCCCATCTGTCCAATCTTTTTTTCTTTTGACATGATGTTTTTCTCTTTTTTTTTCCCTTCGTATCAGTTTTTTTTTCTGTGGACATATCATAAGAATTTACTTAAATATCTTAACCGCTTTTTTTTTAATACAATGCATGATGACATACATGTTTGTAAGTTTCTTGTGTGAATTGTTAATCAATTTTTCACAAAAACTTACAATTTGCAATTATATCTCACAAGGCCATATTCTATACTTTCAATTTGTGAAATAGCAAATATGTGCATATTTAATTGGAATTAAAGTTTTTTTTTAGTCGAGCTAGACTAAAAATGCCACATGTAGGAACGAAATAAGATGTTATTTTGTAACTTTATATACATTTTAACATTTTTTTTTCAGTATAGATATTTATTATGGCCAAGTGTCAGTACTAATGTATCTAGATATCATATTTCATTATATCCAATGAATAAAGAGAATATACTGTTAATTTCTTCATAATTTTAATTTTGTTATATTTGTTATATACTAAGTTCGATCATATAGATACATCAGATTATATTAAAAATTAAATTTATTAGAAGTTAAAGAATAATTACTATTAAATCATAATTTTGTTATCTAAGTCATGTGGAGGAATGACCAGTAAATTATATTCTTCGATATTATTTTTTTTATTCGTTTATGAAAAATATTACTTAAAAGAATATTTGATTATTTGAATAGTCCTAATAGATATAAGGCTGTATCTCTCTCGATATATAAATACAATTTATTTTGATATTTAACATGAAATAAGAAATTAAACAAAAGAGAAATGAGTAAAAATCATTCAAAAACATCTAATTAAACAACTTTGATTTAATATAATATATATGTATATAAACATTTGTATTAATTTATTTTTATTCAACTATAATTCGTCAAAATTCAAGCATTTCTGGCCTTTCCTTGAGTTATATTAATGCATGAAATTCAGAAACTTCCAGAAAATTTAAAAATATTCAAAGAAATGTTCTTTTGCAAATAATTTATTTTCTTATATTTCTTAAAAACCTATTGTATAAAACTATTAATTATTGAATGAAAAACTAAATTACCCCTTACTGAGAACTTTTCTTTGAGCAATAAATAAGAATTATCATATGCGTTACTTAAAATAAAAACTTACCTTGACACTTGTAAAATAATGTTGCCACACTTTAAAATGGTCAATATGGCATATAGTAACCACGTCTGTAACTCCTACAAAAAAAAAATGAAATAATAGAACTTATAGAAGACAAAGCAAATTCTTTTTTTTTTTTAAAGAACAAAGATATTATAAAAATTGCTAATGTATTCATTAGAAGATAGCAAAATCGAATAGAAATTAATTATTACCTAGGACGCCTTGTAGGCCTGTATCCAAAGTATGCACTACCGCGAATAATTCCTCTAGCCATACCTCGATAGCCTCTTGCACCTCTGGGACCCCTATAAATATAAGCAATGAAATACAAGTGTCGAGGTTGTAAGATCCAAATAAAGAAATTTGAGTGACATATAATATCAATTAATAATTATTTATAAGTTTTTATCATTTCATAAATTATAATTAGAACATGTTATTTATAAAACAAAGAATTACCTATTTGTCATAGAGAAACCAGGTTTATTTGTTCTTTTAGGCATTACTTTAATTTGACGTCCTCTGAACATAGACTCATCCATGGCCATTGCGGTTTGTACAGAATCACGTTCGGCAAATTCAATATAAGCAAATCCTTTAGGGTGACCATCAAACTTATTACACAAGATTGTAACTCTATTGACACTTCCACAGCCATGAAAATGTTGCTCCAATTCTTCTGCTGTAGCGCCATAATCAACCTACAAAAGAAATCAAGTTTTTAATCTTTGCAACATTATCATACACTACAAAATACATTTTATAAGAAATTATGCTATAAATTTCATAATCATGAATGCATTATAGTGAACTTACATTGCCGACATAAATGGACCGATTATCAACTTCCATTTTATCTTCTAATGACATATTTAATGGACTTGCTGAAATGAAATGTGATAATAAGAATGTTCTTATGTGTGTATATATGTGTGTTAATTGTTGTTACAATCTTTATCAGACACTCTGTACACATATTTTTTAATAGAGAAAACACAAACTTAGAAACTTACTAATACCAGGTGGACTACCCATATTCATCTGCTTATCTACTTCAGATTGGAGTTGCTTTAATTTTTCAGCTTCCTCTTCCATTTCTCTTACTCGTGCTTTAATCGCTTCTAATTCCTAGTTATGGATAATATTTAATAAGTTAAGTATTACTATATAAAAGGAATTTTATGAGTATATATACTAAAAAATGTAAAAAATAACAACAGTTACAGGATCGTCAACGTTTGCTTCGCCTAAATCACGTTTCACGCCATCACACTGCATAATAGTATCTCCATCTTGGCCATTTTCAAGACCATCTAGACCATCAATGTGGTCACCAGCTAATAGATCGGATTCAGACATTTCTGAAATACGTGAAGGTATATGGAAGTTATAAGAAAAAGAATTATATTGAAATTAATACTTTTAAAATTATAAGCAAGAAACCATTATTATGGAGTTCCTACATATGTAAATTTTTTGTTATAAAAATAAATTCCTATTGTAATTTATTTACATATTATATATATATATATATAAAACTATATTTTCTTTGCCACAAAAAATAAGTTACAAATAATAAACATGTAAAATATGTTATGTATTAATTAATAGTCCAAGAAATATACGGTAATATTTTTACATATACTGTTCATTTTCTCTATACTTTTTATATAGTCAGCACATACTAATTATATCAGAATTATAAGTTCATCATCTTTTGATAAAAAAACTAAGGGTGCATTTCTTTAATTTAAATAATACACACACATATACACATATATATAT